GCTTGCGTGGCACGCAGACCCTGCAGGCTCTTCTCTTGCGGCTCTCCTCCTGCTCTGGCTCCGTGATTCGACCGTTCCAGCTGCCTTTTTTTTTTTTTTTTTTTTTTTTTACAGGCATAGTTAGTGAGAGAGAGAGACAGAGAGACAGAGAGAAAGGTTTTCCTTCTGTTGGTTCACCCCCCAAATGGCTGCTACAGCCGGCACGCTGTGCTGATCCGAAGCCAGGAGCCAGGTGCTTCCTCCTGGTCTCCCATCCTGGTCTCCCAAGCACTTGGGCCATCCTCCACTGCCTTCCTGGGCCACAGCAGAGAGCTGGACTGGAGAGGAGCAACCAGGACAGAATCCAGCGCCTCGACCAGGACTAGAACCCGGGGTGCCGGTGCCGCAGGCGGAGGATTAGCCTAGTGAGCCGCGGCGCCGGCCCCAGCTGCCTTTTCGTCACAGATGCTCTCGTGGGTCTGTGCTTAGCCCTTGTCCCCCCTCACAGCTGCGCCCAGACAACCTCAACCTCCCTTGATGTTGCAACACCAACCGAAACCCCAAGGATGCCCAGATTTGTACCTGCCCCATGGATTCCAGACACACGCAGCCAGCTGCCTATTGACCGGCTAGCCCAGGGAACAAAAACCCAGGGAGGATGGATGACTCATTTCCAGGATCTGAAAGTCTCAGGAGCATAAACGGACCAAATAGGTAGATTTCAGCCCAACACAGGGAACCACACTTGTCGCTCCCCCTCTTTGTGGAGGAACGACACAGGACCCTGCGCTGTTCTTTGGTCTGCTCGGCCCTCCCCGGGTTTGCTGCTGGTTCTTCCCGGGTTGGCTACTGTTCCTTCCACCTCCGTGGAAGGGCGGTTCCCCCTGCCACATTCCCCACTTCCGCGGGGGAGCGGCACACCGCCGGCCGGCTCTCTCAGGGGCTGCACAGGTGTTCCCTCAGATGTTCCCCTTAGATGTTCCTGGTGCATGCCGTCTCTCTCCTCCTTTATAGTCCTCCTCTGCCAATCCCAACTCTGCTGCCCACACGCCGAGTACGCTGCTCTCCTCCAATCAGGAGCAAGTCCTACAGTTTATTGGCTGAACTGGAGGCAGCTGTGTAGAAGCTGTTTTCTTCTCTCCCAGCGCCATATTGTGGGAGAGCAGATGCATAGAATAAGTCTTAATTCCAGTAACTTAGTCTAGTCTGAGTTGCTCCCAGTTGCTCCCCACACACACTAGCCAGCAACAGACAGGCCTTGCTGAGGTGGTGAGCTCCCCGCCGCCACAAGTCGCAAGGACTTCTGCAGGTGGCGCAAAGCCAAGAAAAGCAACATCCACATTCTTCCCAACCTGAGACCGAGGCCTCCCTCAGCTCAGGATTTAGAGGTTCGGATAAATCGATCTTTTCTTCAATTTGTCCAGTACCTAAAATTTCAATTCTTCATTATAGGACATCGGTTAGGTGTCACATTTCCTTTCCATCCAGTAACTTGTTAAAATAACCCTGATTGTTTATCAAATAATCTGCATGACAAACTCACCTGTTTTGTCATCCATACGCCCACCTACAGAGGACAAAATGGGCTCAGTTTGGACTTCCAGACACCTCTGTCCTATTCCGATACGCAGTTGTGCAGATCACTCAGCGAATTAAATCCTCATCTGACCAAACACAAATACTTGTTGGATATCCTTCAAGTATCTCAGTGCTTTTTAACACCAGCCTGGGATGTGTTCAGTCAACACTAAATACAGGCCCCGTTACTGAGGGGAACGGAATCGGGCCAGTATCCACTGAAGGCTTTCATGGGTGTGAAATGTGGACCTGCCCTCAGGAGAGCTCTTGGCCTAGTGAGAGGCAGATTCACCAGTCAACGGCAGCAGCGGAGCCCACGAGTGCTGCAGGGCCCGGGAGAAGAGACACTCAACACGACTCTGTTCAGAACGACGTCTTATTTTAAATATCTCACTGGGGCCCGCGTTTAGCTTATTAGTTAGAACAGTTCTTGGGATCCCTGCGTGTCAAAGCAGACTGCGTGGGTGCCAACCCCAGCTCCACTTCTGGTTCCAGCTTCCTGCAAATGTGCACCCTGGGAGGCAGCAGGTGATGGCTCAAGCAGTTGGGTCCCGGCCAACCATGTGGGAGACCCTGAGTTGAGTTCGTGGTTCCTGGCTTCAGCCTGGCCCAGCCCCAGCTGTCGCAGGCATTTAGGGAGTAAACCAGTGGATGAGAGAGTTCACTTTCAAATAAAAAAAATAAACATTTTTAAATAATGCCTAATTACAAGATACTAAAATAGCAAAAATATAAAAACAAACCTGCCAGTGCCTCCATCACGTCAGATTGTGTCCATTTGTCCACACTTGCTTTTCATCTATCACTCCTATCATAATCTTTCTACGTGTGCACTATGACCCGAGCAGCCTGACAGTCTACATACAGCACCAGCATTTTTCCATTTCACTACTTACTTGTCTCCACCTCAGCACCGACAGCTTTCATCCTCACCATCCTTCTCTAGGCCAGAGTCCGTGCCAACTCCAAGCATTTACGGCGGGGCACTGCACACCGCCTCCCCTTTCCTTGTTCTCCCGGCACGCCCAACTCTCAGCCATAAAAACCACTCTAAATGTCTCCATTTTTCTTTCTAACACTAAGAGAAAAATGCTTTCTCCCTGTGTGCTCCCAGAGACCACATTTCCTTCCTGCCCACTTCACTGGGAGTAACGAGAAGGAGCCACAGGGAGTAGCTTCCCAAGGGCCAGGGTCCCGGACCCACACCTCCACGTGGATCCCAGCAGCGACTCAGATACGCCCACTTTTTTTTTTTTTTTTTTTTTTGACAGGCAGAGTGGACAGTGAGAGAGAGACAGAGAGAAAGGTCTTCCTTTTGCCGTTGGTTCACCCTCCAATGGCCGCCGCGGATGGCGAGCTGCGGACGGCGCACCGCGCTGATCCGATGGCAGGAGCCAGGTACTTATCCTGGTCTCCCATGGGGTGCAGGGCCCAAGCACTTGGGCCATCCTCCACTGCACTCCCGGGCCACAGCAGAGAGCTGGCCTGGAAGAGGGGCAACCGGGACAGATTCCGGCGTCCCGACCGGGACTAGAACCTGGTGTGCCGGTGCCGCAAGGTGGAGGATTAGCCTAGTGAGCCGCGGCGCCGGCCGCACGCCCACTTTTCATAGCACCGTGGACTCCCACCACCTCCCCACACCATGGCTTCAGCCTCCTAAACGACAGTTTGCACGTGGGCCAACGCAGCCTCTCAAGGACTTAACCTTGCCATTTCAGCCACTCTGCTGCCCTGTATTTCTTAGCTCCATTTTCAAGTTCACCTCATCATGCCAGACATGGTCATGGTTTCACCAGCTATGACCTTGGGGGGAGGAGGAAAGCAGGAGGGGCGTGGCGATGTGGTGTCCAAGGACAGGGAAGGGCTACTCTTTCTACAGCCAAAGCTGCCTTGTTCCGTCCCGAGGCTCTGCCTTGTTCCTGTCCCCAGCGGCACCTGTAAATGATAACCTAAGTGGGCTCAATTCACTGCCATCGAGTATAGCTGGATTTCAGATCTGAAGCCTTTTCTGGATTCAGCTTGGACAGGCGGAAGGGAGGGAGGTCTGGCAAGGAGGCAAAGGGCCTGACCCTGGATCACAGCCTGTCAAGGCCTGGCCCCGGGCACTGCTATGCTGTCACGCTTGTGAGGCCAACAAGGGAATAGATTACAGGGGCACGTATGTACTTAGGTCTCTGTTCTGCCATGCACCATGTGATCTTAGACATTTTGAGTCAGGGGCTGGCATTGTGGCACAGTGGGTTAAGCTGCCATCTGCCAGCTCCAGTTTCTCCTGAGTGCCGGTTCATGACGCAGCTGTTCCACTTCCAATCCAGCTCCCTGTTATGTGCCTGGGAAAGCAGCAGCAGATGGCCCAAGTGCTTGAGCTTCTGCCACTCACATGGGAGACCTGGATGCAATTCCAGGCTCCTGAGTTCAGCCTGGCCCAACCCTGACCGTGTTGGTCATTTAGGGAGTAAATCAGCAGATGGAAGATTTCTCTCTCTCCTCTCTGTAACTCTGCCTTTCAAATAAATACAATACATCTTTTAAACACACACACAAACACACACTGGGAAGTGAAACAGTGGATGGGATATCTGTCTCTCCCTCTGTAACTCTACCTCTCAAGCAAATAAAATCTTTAAACACACACACACAAACACACACACAGATATACATACACACATTTTGAGTCTTGCATGCCTCACCTCCGAAATTTTAGAGGTAAATATGGGAAAAGATTCTATGCAATGATTAAGACCCCGTTAGCGACTCCCACATCCCACACAGGAGTGCCAGGATTCAAGTTTTGGCTCCACTTCCAATTGTAGCTTTCCACTATTGCACACCCAGGGAGGCAGCAGGTGACAGCTCTACTAGCTGGGTCCCTACCACCCACTGTGGGAGACCTGGATGGATTCCAGCTCCTGGCTTCAGGGACCAGACTCACTACTGCAGGCCTCTGGGGACTGAACCAGAGGACAGACGACCTTTCTCTGTCTCTGCCTTTTTAATGAAATGCAGACAAATTTTAAAACACAGAATAAATGTAGCAAAGAAATAGGACAAATGTTAACCAATAAAATATATACAAAAATAAAAGTGACTTTGTATCTTAACTCTAAGGATTAGACAGAAAAACAGGGTTATGTGTCAACTAAGGTGTGGTAGCCAGTGCCATTTAGTTTCCCATCCTACAGGAAGCCCTTGATCTTGAAGCAAAGGTTTGGTTTTCCCTTCAACAGGCACAGAGACAGCCACAAAGTCACCTGTCTCCTGGAGCCCAACCTTGCATCCACAGTGCCAAAACTGCTTCCTTTTTTTTTTTTTCTTTCGGAGCAGTTTTAAGTCTCCTGGTACATCAACCCTTAAATGCAACTCGTGGGCTTTAGTGAAGCAGCCAGGCCTTGCTCAAAAGCATCTCAGTGAAAAGGGGGAAAAAAACGGAGACGGAGCATATAGACTGTTTTTCCTGCCTTTATTTATAAACACACGAGAGCACGTCTCCTCCTGATGCGGACATGAGTGTCCGCACCTTCCAAGGAGGAATCCATTAAAAACAGCAACAGGAGTGGGGAAAGTGGTGGGACCTTATCTCGCACCAGTCCGTGCACCCCGGACGCAGGGCACTGGCAGAGTTGGCTCAGGCGTGGCCTCTCACCTCAGGGACGGCCAAGGAGCCGTCTGCTCCCAGGGCGGGAGGTGCCCTGTCAGTCTTCAGCATCGTCAAACTGTCCTGTTTCGAAGACCATCTTGGAGTAGTGGGGGATGAGCGGCGGCGGGTGGTGCCAGCTGGGGTCGTAGATCATGTCTCCCCGCGCGGCACAGCACACCCAGGGCTTCACCTCTTGACAAATGCTCCCCTGGACGTCGTCGGCATCTGCAGCAGACCACAGGGAAAGACGAGTGGGTCTGGGGGCAGACGCCTGCCCTTACTTTGTTTAAAACCGTATGGGGGCAGGCACTCAGCCTGTGTCTCACATCAGAGGCACTGGGTTCAATACCCAGCTCTGGCTCCACTCCACCTTCCTGCTAACGCACGTCCTACAAGGCAGCAGTGATGGCTCAAGTAAATGCGTTCCTGCCACCCACGTGGGAGACCTGGATTGAGCTCCCAGGATCCTAGCTTCAGCTCCGACCAAGGGGACCAATGGATCTAATGGATGGGAGCTACTCTACCTCAAATAAAGACACACACACACACACACGGCCCTCCTTTGCCCAGCAACTGGGAACGTGTTCCTGCTGAACTTCCCAGACAGGGTTTCCCAGCAGTGGAGGGGTCGCAAGCAGACCCCAGGGCACTTCTGTCCACATCAGCTCACACCGGGCAACAATCTCTGGAAAAAGTGACAACTGTTCAAAGTGATGCTTCCTGGGTTCAATCCCACACTCCAAGATCAAGGAGATGCGCACACAGCAACTTCACCGCTGTGAGGGGTATCAGGCAGGGCTCGTAGCAGCTGACCCCACCTGCACACTGTCTGCCTCCATGGGTAGTCTGGTGGGAGGGCCCTGCCCCTGCCCCCCTCCCAAACTATCCCTGGGGACCCCAGAAACCCACCGTAGGGATTCCCTTGCTCCGCCTGCAACTCCAGGTCCCAGTCCTCGCTACAAAGCTCGGCGCTGTGCTCCGTGGGCCAGCAGCGCCTGCCCTCCGGCACCTCCCAGGCAGTCGGTTCCCCGTCGGACTCCTCCTCGTCCCCAGCAAGGCCTTCCTCCTCAGAATGGCTGCCTTCGCCCTGGGCAGGAACCTCAGGAGCGACGCTCTGGGCTCCACTGGCTAAGAAACCGACAGAAGGCAGAAGAAGGTCGTGAAAGAACTAAAGAACTCCTCGAGCAGACAGGGCGGCACGGGTGCTCGGAAGCTCCCAGCGGCGGCCGCACTGAGCCAGCAGGAACCAAAGGCGCACAGCTCTCTCACCGCACGGCCGGCTCCAGAAAGGCTGGCCGCTTCCGCCGTGAGACGTGGGGCACGTCGCCATTTATTTTCCATGCTTTGTCTTAAACAAGGCCACTGACGTCAGGCCTTGTGATGCACAAGGGAAGCCAGGCACGGAACACACTCTCAGGTAACTTACACGCCAAGTGGGCCCCTACACCCGGGGCAGACCTGGAAGAAGCTCCTGGCTCCTGGCTCCAACCTGGCCCGGCCCCAGCCATTGTGGCCATTTGGGGAGTAAACCAGCAGAAGGATGATCTCTGTGTGTCTCCCCTCCTTCTTCTTGTAACTCTGCCTTTCAAATAAATAAATCTTAAAAAAAAAAAAAAAAAAAAAAAAACAGTTCTACCAATTACTAAGTGTGTAAACCAAAGCCAAATATACTTACCTTGTTCCTGGTTAACATACACAAATAACCACATAACCTAGCAACTCCACTCCACAAGAACTGAAAACAGGGGTTCACACCAAACCACGGAAGCTGCCAGCAACACTATCTGCACAGCCTCCAAACTGTGGAAATGACACCAATGGCCATGGGAGGATGAACTCCACGTGATGGAGAGCCTCAGCTGTACAAAGCAAGACAGTGCTGATGCACACTGCAACACGGATGGACAGACCGAGAAAACCCCCTGCTGAGTGAAAAAAGCCAGATACAAGACACACACAGTTTGATTCCATGTATGGGCATCTCACATTTGCCCCTCTAGAACAGCAAAGCCACAGGGACAGAAAGCAGATTCGTGGTCTGCAGGGGCCGGGGCGGAGGGGTGACTACTTCAGGGTATAGGGTTGCCTTCTGGAATGAGGAAAATGTTCTGGAACAAACTACATAGTGCTGACAGTTGGCCAACACTGTCAGTGTGCTAAATGCTACTGAGCTGTATGCTTTAAAATGGTTGGGGGGGGGGGGGGCGGCATTCGGCACAACAGTTAAGATGCCCCTAGGGATGCCTACAACCCATATTTAAGTGGCCTGGGTTCAAGTCCTGGCTCCACTTCTCATTCCAGCACCCTGGGAGGCGGCAGGTGATAGTTCAAGTACTTGGGATCCTGCCACTCACATGAGAGACCCAGAGTGAGTTCTGGGTTCCTGACTTTAGCCAGGCCCAGCCCTGAATGTGGCAAATATTTGAGGAGTAAACTAGCAGATGGAAGATCTCCCTTTGTCTCTCACTCTCTCTGCCTTTAAAATAAATTGTTTCCTAAAAATAATGGTTAAAAGGTAAATTTATGATATACATCTTTCACAATTTTTAAAGGTTTGTTTATTTATTTATTTGAAGGTCAGAGTCAGAGAGAGAGAGAGAGAACTTCCATCTGATGGTTCACTTCCCAGATGGCTGCAATGGCCAGAGCTGAGCTGATCCGAAGCCAGGAGCTTCTTCCGCGTCTCCTACACTAGTGCAGGGGCCCAAGCACTTGGGCCATCTTCCACTGCTTTCCCAGGCCTTTAGCAGGGAGCTGGATCAGAAGTGGAGCAGCTGGGACTCGAAATGACGCCCATATGCGATGCTGGCACTGCAGGCGGCAGCTTTTCCCGCTCTGCCACGGCACCAGCCCTCCTAATTTTTTTTTTAATTCGGGGAAGGGACAGGCATTTGGCGCAGCACTTAAGATGAAGCTGAGATGTCCACATCCCATATAGCAGTGCCAGGTTTGAGTCTCGGTTCCTCTACTTCTAAGCCAGCTTCCTGCAAATACGTGCCCTGGGAAGTGTACCTGGGTCAAGTACTTGGGTCCCTGCCACCCGTAAGATCCCCAAACTGAGTTTTCAGCTGCTGGCTTTGGCCTGGCTCAGCCCTGGGAGGCTTTTCAAGTGAATTAGAACATGAAAGATCTCTCTCTGCCCTGCTTCCCCCTTCCCCCACTGCTTTCAAATCAACAGAAGAGAAAGTTTTAAAAAAATTTTTGTATGGGGGCCAGCCCTGTGGCACAGGTTAAGCTGCCACCTGTAATACCAGCATCCCATATGGGTGCTGTTTCAAGTCCCTGCTGCTCCACATCTTATCCAGCTCCCTGCTGATGTCCCTGGGAAGACAGAGGAAGATGACCCTAGTGCTTGAGCCCCTGCCACCCCTGGGGGAGACCCCAGTGGAGTTACAGGCTCCTGGCTTCAGCCTGGGCCAGCCCCAGACAATGAGGCCATTTGGGAAGTAAACCAGAGGAAGATATCTCCCTCTTTCCCCACCCCCTCATTCTACTTTTCAAGTACATAAAATTTTAAAAAAACTTTTTTTTTGTATTAACTACGCTGTATCTGTTTCCTCATTTGTAAAATGGAGACAGGTTTGTTGTGAGATGTGGGGGGGAAAAAGGAAACAATAGAAACAGACTACACCTGTCGACAGGAGCGCTCAAAGGTTTCCATTACTGGGACTGTTACACCTGCGACTGCGTGATCTAGACCAACACTTCCCATTCGAACTTCCTGCCGAGACGGAAATGTTCTAGCATCACTGCTGTCCAACAAGGCAGCACTACCCACACGTGGCTACTGAGCACGTGGAATGTGGCCTGAGAAGCTGAGTTTCCTGTGGTATTGCCTTAGAACTAACTTCAACTGCACCTGTGGCTAGCGGCTGCTGTTAACAGACCCACACGATTCCTCGCTCTGTCCCCCAATCCTGAGAACAACCCTAGGGAGTAGGTCTTATTCGTCTCACTGTCAAGTCCATGATACTCCATTCCAGGGCTCTCAGAGTTGAAAATACAATTCTGCCTGCCTCCCAAGCCCCCACATGTCACGGCTGCGAGCTGGCTCTCAGTTGAAGAGATGAGTTGGGATGTAAGCCAAGTCCAGGATTTCCCTTACGGTAGCCTGGGCAGGGCTTTCAACGGAAAGCATTGCTGAAACGCGACAGGGGAGGCACCTCGGCAGCAGAGGGCTGGTTAGAAGGAACAGGCAAACAAGACGTAGAGACCATCACGGCCGCTCCGACATCTACTTGCCTAGTCGATCCGTGGCCGTCTCAGCCTCTGTCTCTGGACCACTGGGGTCTGCTGTGGCGAAGGTGGCCTGCAGGAAGAACAAACGATTACCGGGAACTCAGGTGCCCCGGATCCTGGTACTAAGCCATTGCCTCTCAGGTCGAGTCCCAGTCCCACACTCTTGATGGGGATCCACATTTCTGTCTCCCCCTGTTAGATCCAGCTGGCCTTTCTAATTCTCCAGGCACCATCCCAACAACACGGCTGCACCCCTGGCTACAGCTGTGTGGACACCTGAGGTGGCCGTGTCATCACTGGGCCCTCTTGTCAGAGGTCTGGAGCCCAGGGTCCCTACTCTCCCAGCTCAGAGACCTCAGCACCAGCTGCAGCAGGTTGGATTTCAGCTCTGCAGAGCTGTCCTGGCTGTTTCCTGCCCACTGCTTCCTCCAGACATCTTTTTGACCTTTCTGGTTACTTAGTATCTAGTTCACAACTCTTTGCCTCTTCTCACTGGCACACGATGGGAGTGGAACTCTCTGTCCTGAGTGGTGCTGGCTGAAAGAAACAGCTCTAAACCAGCTGGAAATCACCCTCCCCTGCAGCCGGCCGGAAGCTTCTCTGCCTCCAGCACCCACAAGTCTCCCAAGCGCTCTAATTGCCCCAGAAGCGCTCGCAGGAAGCCCCACCTTCAGCCCCAGCTCTGCCACTCAGGGTACTGTCTGGGCCACCTGGCTTCAGCCCCTGGGCTTTCTTCCCTGGAAACAGGGGAGAGTGGTTCCTACTACCTAACTTCTAAGAGCTCTCCCAGTGCACGGGCAGGAATGCGAGGCGTCTAGAATTTAGACTCACCTCCTCTGATCCTACATCTAAACTGCACCTGTTTCAATCCAATCATCACTCCTCGCCTAGCCATGCCTCCCTTAAGTGATTCCACTTCCAGTGGTCAGCAGCAATTGCCCAGGGCTGCCCACCAGCGGGATGAGGCTAAGCTAAGGAGGCCTTGACCTCCGAATTCCCCCACCCACAGGGTTAATCACCACTCTGGTCAACAGCTTAAACAGCCCTCCACCAGCAAACACAAAGGCACCCGCCCCCCACGACCTGTTCAGCATGCTTCTCCACGCCGCCGCCCCAGCTCTGAGCCACTTGCCCTGCGCTTCTTCCTGGCCAGCCTCCGCAGGCACCACCGGACTCCCACCTGCGAGAGCCAGCGCGCAGCCCTCCCTGCTCTCCCCGACTACAAGCGTTGCCGCCGCGTGCACGTCTCTGGTTAAGGCCCATCTCTGCTGTGTCCACCCAATTACTACGCCTGTCCCGCGTGCTAGGCGCTGGGCTCCCAGCCCTAAACGGAGGAGCTGTCGTCTAGGCAGACACTGTAGACAAGGACAGGCGAGCACTGCGACAGCGGTCTCGGAAACACGGGGGCTGCCTGGAGCGCACCTGAAAGCAAGTTTCTGCAAACCCTGCGTCAAACCTGGCCTTCGGGTCTCCGTAAACGGAGAGTGCATGGGACACCCACCCACCCCTCAGCGCTCGGGGGGTAGTGAGCGTCCCCCGACCCTCAGTCAGTGAACAGGGCTCCTCCAGGCGAAGCCCTCCCCTTGCAGCCCTCACCTGGCCGGGGCCCAGGCCCCCAGTAGCGGGCCCCAGCTCTCCGTCCCCAGCATCACCTCCCATTTAGTAAGTACGCAGAGGCGCCCTATGGGCCAACAGCCTCAGTGGGACCGGCGCGCCCACCCACGCCCCTCGGAGCTCCCCGCCCGGCAGCCTCGAAGCCCCGCTGCCCCTCGGCCAGCCGTTTCCAGCTCCAGCGCGAGCCCAAACGGCGCTCAGGGCTCGTGGAGCGGCCCGTGGCGCTGTCCGCGCCCCGCGCCGGGCACCGCCCCGCGAGCCCCCAACTTCCCGCACTGGCTGCAGGTGGTGGCGGCGCTCGGCCCGCGCGCGGCGCTCACCTCCAGGCTGCGGGGCGCCTCCCGCGTGCTCGGTAGCGGCGGGCCCCGAGGCGGTTCCGTGACGCCCCGTGCCCGGGCCCCGGTGGCCTGCGGGTCCATGCCGAGCTGCCCACGGCTGGGCGCCCTGGACGCGGCTCGGCCACGTGATGCGCCAGCCTGGCTGCCAGCCTGAGGATACGCCGCGCAGGGGCCAATCAGCCGGGGTGCTCCCGGCCGCGGGGGCGGGACACCGGGTCACGAGGACGCCGGGGGCGGGGCGCGTCGCCACCGCAGAGCCCCCTGCCTACCCGGTGAGAAACGGAGCCAGTCTGGAGTACTGGTTCTGGTGGCTCCCACGCGCAAACGCCCGGCCTGGAACGCGGGCTGGGCCGGCAGGGCCGAATCCCAGCTCCACTCTGCCACACCCGATGTGTTCAGCTGCAAAACCTCCATTCCCCATTAGAACACGAATACCGGAGCGGCCCTGACACCGTCTGAAGCCGAGCTGTCAAAACTCAGAATGCAGTTTGAGGCTCCAGCCACGTTTCACCCTCTTTCTGGGTCCACTGGAATTAGACCCTAACAACCTCAACGAACGAGACAACCTAGCAGCCAGCGACGCCCCACCTCGAGTTACAACAGTCTATTGGGAACCAGGGCAGCTGTTCAAACAGCTGCAATGTGTGGACACGGTTAAATATTCTGCACTAGTGGTGGAATCCGACCAGGGCTCCGACCTTCCCACGCTGAGATTTGGGTCTGCCACCAGTTATTCCCCATTTTGCCTCTAAGGACTAAGAGGGGTGCCTCCCATGCAGCAAGGGCCTTCATTGCCTTCCCTGCTGGCCACCGACCACGCGTGATAATCACGTTAACTTTTTCTTTTTTTCTTTTTTCTTTTTTTTTTTTGACAGATAGATAGAAAGGTCTTCTTTCCCTTGGTTCACTCCCAAAATGGCCGCTACGGCCGGAGCTGCTCCGATCTGAAGTCAGGAGCTAGGTGTTTCTTCCTGGTCTCCCACGTGGGTGCAGGGTCCAAGCACTTGGGCTATCCTCCACTGCCTTCCCGGGCCAAAGCAGAGAGCTGGACTGGAAGAGGAGCCACCAGGACTAGAACCCGGCGGCCACATGTGATGCCGGCGCTGCAAACGGAGGATTAAACCAGGGAGCCCTGGCCACTCACATGTTAACCTTTAAGGAGCAAAAAGCCAGAAGCTGGGACTCCTTGCTCACCAGGAAACCTTATGACCTCTTGGGACATTAGAGCGCCTCCCTAGAGGAATTTTGTTGTCTGTAAACCACTTTGTGGGGCCTGCGTTGTAGCACAGTGGGTTAACACCCTGGCCTGAAGCTCAGGCATCCCAGATGGGTGCCAGTTCGAGACCCGGCTGCTCCACTTCCTGTCCAGCTCTCTGCTATGGCCTGTGAAACAGAAGATGGCCCAAGTCCTTGGGCCCCTGCACCCACGTGGGAGACTAGGAAGAAGCTCCTGGCTCTTGATCAGCACAGCTCTGGCCGTTGGCGGCCATTTGGGGAGTGAACCAGCAGATGGAAGACCTCTCTCTCTCTCTCTCTGCCTCTCCTCTCTGTTTAACTCTTTCAAATAAATAAATCTTAAAAGCACACACACACTTTGCGGCATTTGGGGGAAGAAAGCCAACAGTGACATAATATTCAATGTTTGGGTGCCCCCGTCCCCCCTCCCCAACCCCACACAGGAAAGGAAATGTGAGGAAATGTGACTAATCTTTTTGATGGTTTTTTTTTTTTTTTTTTTGTTTTTTTTTTTTTTTTGAAAGTCCAAGTCACCGAGAGAGGGAGGCAAAGAGAGAGATCTTCCATGCACTGGTTCACTTCCCAGATGGCCATAACCACAGGAGCTGGAAAGATCCGATGCCAGGAGCTTCTTCTGGGTCTCCCATGTGGGTGCAGGGGCCTAAGTATTTGGGCCATCCTTGGCTGCTTTCCCAGGCCCATTAGCAGGAAGCTGGATCGGAAACGGAGTAGCTGAGACTCTAACAGGCAGGCAGTAGCTTTATCCCCTATGCCACAGTGTTGGCCCGATTAATCTTTTTAGATTTATTTCTTTGAAAGATAGTGATAAGGGCCAGCACTGTGGCTAGCAGGTAAAGCCACCACCTGCAGTGCCAGCATCCCATATGGGTGCCAGTTCAGGTCCCAGCTGCTCCACTTCGATCCAGCTTTCCACTGTGGCCTTGGAAAGCAGATGGCCCAAGTCCTACACATGTGTGGAAGACCCAGAAGAAGCTCTTAGCTCCTGGCTTTGGTCTAGTTCAGCTACAGCCATCATGGCCATTTGGGGAGTGAACCAGCAGATGGAAGACCTCTCTTTCTCTCTCTGCCTCTACCTCTCTGTAACTCTACCTTTCAAATAAATAATAAATCTTTAGAAAGAAAGTGATGGGAGGAGAAAGGGGAAAGGGAGGGGTAGAGAGAAAAGGAGAAGGAAAGAGAACCAGATGCTGGTTCACTCCTCAGATGTCAACAGCAGCCTGGGTGGGAAACTGGAACTCCATCCAGGTCTCCCACTTGAGTGGCAGGGACTCGAGTACTGGAGTCATCATCTGCTGCTTCCCAGGCATAGTCAGGATTCAAACTAGCATTCCAGTATGGGATATGGCTGTCCCAGTGGGCATTTAACCCACTGGGCCACAGAGCTGGCCCTAGAAATGTGACTAATTAACGTGTGCTCTGTTCTGCTGACCCAAGAGTCAATTTCCCCAAATCTGATCGGCTCCAGGTCAGCACTGCCCCAGAAAGTCTTCTGCTACAGTGGAGAAGTTTTATAATCTGTGCTGTCCAGTATGGTAACCATGTGGCTCTTAAGCACTTGAAGTAGAGCCAGTGTGAATAAGAAACTAAATTATTTAATTTTAATAAGTTGAAGTTGTCACAGGACTACCATGTCTCACAGTATGACTATAAATGTGTTTCTATAACCTGTGGCAGTGAGAACTACATATAGGGATGTGATAACACCAGGGTGACCCAGGGACACAGCCTTCCTGGAAGGAACCTACCACCATTCTCTTCGCTCTCTACCCATGGGCAACACAAATAAGGATGTCACATAGGATTTGCAATGTTAAACTTCCCAGGACTTAAAAAGAAAATAAGTATTTCTTATTTTAAAACAAGTGACAGGGCTGGCACCGTGGCGTAGTGGGTAAAGCCACCACCTGCAGTGCCAGTATCCCATATGGACACCGGTTCAAGACTCAGCTGCTCCACTTCCAATCCAACTCTCTGTTATGGCCTGGGAAAGCAGTAGAAGATGGCCCAAGTCCTTGGGTCCCTGCGCCTGCATGGGAGACCTGGAAGAAGCTCCTGGCTCCTGGCTTCAGATTGGCACAGCTCCAGTCATTGTGGCCAACTGAGGAGTGAACCAGTGGATAGAAGACCTCTCTCTGTCTCTGTAATTCTTTCAAACAAACAAATATTTTTAAATGACATGCAAATAATACTTAGAATGCAAAAGTTAAAAATGTCCTTATACCTCTGGGTATCAAGAAACACCACACACACATACATAAAGCTAGAAGTAAAAATTATTTACAACAAATGAGATACAAAAGATTAACATTTTAATATATAAAAAATCTCATAAATTAGCAAGAAAAGTTTTAAAAAATCTAAAAATGTGTAAAGGTAAGAAGACACAAAAAAAACACTAATATCAAAGAATTGCATGTTAAATCAATGACATATCACTTTTCACCTATTAAAATGGGAAAAAGACAAAATGTTTTTCAATATCCAATAGACGCCAGGGTGTTGCCACTTTATTCATACGCTGCTTGAAAGAAGGAGCAAAGTGGCAATTCTTAACAATAGGCTCTAAAAGTTACATCCTCCAATCCAGTATTCCACTGGCAGCTGTCAATCTCGTAAGGAAATAACCAGGCATACAAAGACTGACAAAAATCGTCATCAAAAATGACAAGGGGATCAGCAAAGTTCAGTCCTGGCTCATTTTTCCAATACAGTGTTATGAACACATTGAATGTATTTAAAGCTATTTAATGACCTGGGGCTATAACACAGTATTAAGTGAAACAGAGAATGAGGTAAAACCTCACTGAATGCTTCTCTTGGTGATGTCAGATGTTAAGTTAAAAGGCAGTACCTCAAACAATCCCCTTCACCAAGCTGTCCTCCCATGCCTCCCTGCACAGGCCCTTCTCTGCCTCTCTGCCCTTGCCCTGGTTTTGTTGCTGTGCCTCCTCTGCTCCTCAGTTCAGAGATTTTAAACACTGTCTATCTCAACCTTCTTCAACAGCCACTTTCCCCAATACCCAGCACCTCCTTCTCTGCTGCTTCACCTAGCTCATAAGCACAGTCCTTTTCCAACCCCCACTCTCCACCCCCCAAATCCTCCCTTTCTTTACTGCACATGACGGGCATGCAAATATTTCTTGAACGAATAAATGAGTCAATGATGTGATTGTATATATCTGATTCTGATCAAATTCCTGAGTAATCTCTAGATGGGTTACAGGATGCTTTCATTTTCTTCATACTGTCCTTTTCCCTCCATATTTTCTAGAACAAACTCAAATCATGTATACTTTTAAAGTAAGATAAGAGTAAACAATAAACTAGCAAAACTGTACTTTCTCCTCCATTTTAACGGACTCCTAGATCTGAATTAGAGATATATACGCTGGACCTGAGATAATAAATTAAACTCAGTTGTAGGATTTCCATAAGGCAGAGAGAACATTGAGGGCCCATGGTGGGTCTGGGCTCAACAAATAGATATGAAATCAGTAGTTCTTTTTTCTGGAGTTAAACATTAACAAATTAATAAAAAATTGAAGTATGTCTCAAGATCAAGCAGACATCCTTTCTACCATTCTGAATAAGTTACGGACTGACTCATAATACAGTCTGCCCACAGAGCCTGCAATGCAACATCACAGCATTGGCTGTGTCCTTCCTTGTCACTGATGGCCAGCCTGGTGCATGGCGTGCTTAGCCACAAACACCTCTGCTGACTCTCCCTGCAGCATTTTCATGGCTCGCCAATAGATCTGTCCACAGTTCTCAGGTCTGCCAAGTGGGTGGTTCAGCTCCTCTTTGATGTAATCCATCCAAAGATCTTCAAAGAAACAAACAAAAAGAAAATGACTATAAATATACAGTCAGACAACTGAAAAGGTTTCCTTAACAAATATTTCCTTAAGTATATCAATACAAGATTTCTAAAGTTACTTTCTTGCCATTATTCCCTTTGAATCATGTGAAACAATACCCCTTCTGAAGCATCCCAACACTAAGGGCCAGCAATGAAAGGTTTGCCTCTTATTTTTTTTTTAGGAAGAAAATCCCTTCACAGTAACCACAATATCCTATGTTACTTAATGAACTCAAAAATCCTAAATTTTTGGAGAGAAGGTTTTGCTGAGTTTCTTTAAAGCTGAAATCAACACTCAAAGAGTTCACTGTAACCTTGTCACCGTGCTTATTAAAATTTGCTAAGGTTAGCAAAAATGGCACTTTTTAAAATTTATTTCATAAGGAAAGGTCTGCTGAAAAACTGGTAGGAGCTAATGTATCGTTCAACATGAATTTAATAACTATTCACGCCAGTGCTTAGTAGTTCATACATAAAGTCTCAGGTAGTACACAACACACACAGCCCCAGAAGTACATTGTACAAGTCCTACAAATGAGGGCAATCTGGTGACAACCAATGAAAATAAATGCCAGTTAGCATCCCACATTTACCTGGGCTGTAACACCTGCTCCTCTTTGTTCTGACCTACATTAACTCTTTCCTTACAAATACAGTTTATGAGAACCAGACCAAGCAAATCTTTCTCTGATCCAGAGTTCTTAATACAAGACCCATGGCTTATGACCTTGAAATTGTAAGCCAAACTACGTGTACATGTATTCATGCACAAAGCAAGAGTGGGGGCAGGGGGAAGTAAACAAAACATTGTTCTAACCACCATGCACATGCACTCAAAAGTTTACTTACCGGAATCTGTAGATCCAAACTCTCTCAAAGCCCTTTCATAAAACTCTCTTAAATTTGCCATCTTGCAGGATTCCTAAAACAAAAGCTCAAATTGTAATGTCACAAATTCATTTCAACCACATTGTTAAGCAGCTACCAAGTTAGGAATTTGACAGGGAAACGGGAAGGGGCTTAAGATGAACACAGCCTGGCTCTATTTACTCAGAATAAAGTCAAATACACCACCCAACAGAGTGATGTAAATGTCAAACATAAAAACACTTTGTTCTGATAACAGGGAGAAGTCTCATGAATTTTCAGTGGGAGAACATGAAGGGGAGGTTTCTGAAAGCCTCAAGGGACGAGTTGGGTTTAGATAAAGAAATAAATGATGAAGGTTCTGCTCCCTACGGTTAAAGATTTCTTCCTTCTGAGTACCCAGGCTCTGACATTTATTAGTTTACGTCCACCTTAAACTTCTTTATGACAAGGCAAAATATAAATAAGTACTAGTTACATGACCTCTAGCAAGCTTTGTAAACCCCCTGATCTGATCTTACACATTTCTTCACCTGAAAACAAGGATAATAATGTCTCTTAGCACAACTGCAAGTGTGCCTGCCTCATGTTTTTTTAAATGACAATTTCTGGTGGTTGTCCCATTCACAGGTTCTGTTTGAAAACATCAAAAATAGTTAGTGAGTACCTCCTCTCTCCCTCGTACCCACACAAGAGATAACCAGGGTGCTGAAGAGGCAAAGCAACAGCACCACACCCAGCGTGGCAGGCAAGGCTTCCTCTAAAAAGCAGCTTCTGGGTTTTCTATTCTCCAGATACGGATCTTCACCTCTTTGGTTACCACTCCTGAACCAGGTCTATGAAAAGCGTTGGACTAAGGGCCCCAAAATATATAGCTTTATGGGAGGCTTTTAAATCACACAACACAGCAGACTAATAACCACTACCCCACTTTCCCAGAAAAGAAATGTTTAGACACAACACTCACTTGCTCCTTTTCAAACTGGATCATTTTCCTGAAAAAATCGACTGAAAATGGACGGCTTTCCTGCAAACTGAAATAGAAAGGGAAAGGGCACGTCACTTTCCACGGTGCCAGAAAACACCAACCAGAACCTCAACAAATTGTAGTTTAATGAAGACCTGGCTGGGACTCGGTGAAAGCACTGGACTGATGGCCACCCTCTCCCCATGACTCAACCTCAATCTCCACAACTTCCACTCTCTGATGGCTGTCATCACCATTATGGAATAACTCTGTCCTACACGGTTTTCTTCTGTTCTCTGCTTTCACATTTTGAAATTTTTTTTTTTTGGGGGGGGGGGGTAAGATTTCTTTATTTATTTAAAAGGCCAAGAGACAGAGATCTTCCATCTGCTGATTTCATTCCCAAATAGACTCAATGGCCAGGGCTGAGCCAGGCCAAAACTAGCAGCAGGAGTTTCATCTGGGTCTCCCACCTGAGTGCAGGGGTCGTCCAAGTACTTGGGCCATCTGGCACTGCTTTTGCAGGCACATTAGAACAGGAAGTTGTATCAGAAGTGGAGCAGGGGCCAGCGTTGTGGTGCAGCAGGTTAAGGCCCCGGCCTGCAGCGCCAGCATGCCATATAGGTGCCAGTTCTGGCTGCTCCACTTCCCATCCAGCTCCCTGCTATGCCCTGGGAAAGCTGTAGAAGATAGCCCAAGTCCGTGGCCTTGTTGTGGCCATCTGGGTTGGGAACCATTGGATGGAAGACCTCTCTCTGCCTCTGCCTCTCTGTAGCTCTGCCTTTCAAATAAACATAAATTAAAAAAAAAAAAAAAGACTATATTCTAAGGAATTAATTTCTAATATGAACATTTCCAGTAAAACATATAATTGCTGGGGCCGGCACTGTGGCACAGTGGATTAATGCCCTGGCCTGAAGCGCCAGCATCCCAGATGGATGCCGGTTCAATACCTGGCTGCTCCTCTTCCAATCCAGCTCTCTGCTATGGCCTGGGAAAGCAGTGGAAGATGGCCCAAGTCCCTGGGCCCCTGCACCCACGTGGGAGACCCAGAGGAAGCTCCTGGCTCCTAGCTTCGGATTGGCACAGCTCCAGCCATTGGGGCCAACTGGGAAGTGAACCACTGGATGGAAGACCTCTCTCTCTCTCTCTGCCTCTCCTCTCTCTGTTTAACTCTGCCTTTCAAATAAATAAATCTTTAATATATATATATGTGTTTGTGTGTGTGTGTATATATATATACATAATTACCAACATTTGTGCAGAAATGTTCACAAAGCCAGAATGACTGTGGCCCAAATAAAGTATGACACATCCACAAGGCAACATATGATATGGCATAGCAGGTGTCTGGCCCGAGGTGAAGACGCCAGGTAACATATCCTGTCCCACAGTGTAGTGTGGAGGCTTGCTATCCAGCTCTAGCTCCAGACTTCAGCTTCCCTCTAACAAAGACCCAAGGAGACAACAGTGATGGTTCAAGTGACAGTTCCTGTAACCCACACCACCCACCTGGATAGAGTTCCTGAGTCGGGTGGGAGCTCACTGTCTGGCTCTCTCTCCCTCTGCCCATCCATTAAATATAAATTTAAAATACACATGTAATATATATCATATAGCTGGTTTTTTTTAAGATTTATTGATTTATTTGAAAGGCAGAGTTAGAGAGAGGGAGAGACTGAGAGATCTTTCTTGGGAAGTGACCAAATGAATGGAAGATCTCTCTTTCTCTCTGTAACTCTGCTTTTCAAATAAATAAATAAATCTTAAAAAAAAAGACAGAATTTTTGTTTTAAAGATTTATTTATTTTATTTGAAAGGCAGAGTTGCAGAGAGACAGGAATAGACAGAGATATTCCATCTGCTGGTTCACTCCCTAAACATTCACGACTACTGGAACTGGACCAGACAGAAGCCAGGAGCTTCTTCTGGGTTTCCCACGTGGGTGCAGGGGCCCAACCACTTGGGCCATCTTCTGCTTTCCCAGACACATTAGGCAGGGGCCAGATGGGAAGTGGAGCGTGGCTTAACTTGCTATGCCACAGCACTTTCCCAGAAAGTTTAAAAACGATATATTAACACTGTTTTCCTTTTAATAATGAAAGTACAATGAATCATAAGCTCCCCCCCAACACACACACACACACGATAGATACAAACTGTTGATACTCTTCAAGAAAAGATAAACACATTACTTTTTGAAAACATCTTCTGGATCTGCATTACTTGCTCAGATACTATTTGTGACCCATATAATCTGGGCACGAGGAGCTGAATATGGCGTGGACACACCAGCAACAGCCATAAACACCTGTGATTACCTTTTTTTTTTTGAAAGGCAGAGTGGACAGTGAGAGAGAGACAGAGAGAAAGGTCTTCCTTTTCTTCCGCGGCCTGCGCACCATGCTGATCCGAAGGCAGAAGCCAGGTGCTTCTCCTGGTCTCCCACGCGGGTGCAGGGCCCAAGGACCTGGGCCATCCTCCACTGCACTCCTGGACCATAGCAGAGAGCTGGCCTGGAAGAGGGGCAACCGGGACAGAATCCGGTGCCCCAACCGGGACTAGAACCCGGTTGTGATTACCTTTTAAACACAGCTCTGGCCTTTTTGTATCCACCACTTCGATAAGCCCAATCCAGATACTTGTCCTTCAGAGTTACTGAGTCAGGACCCATGACAGCTAAGACAGCTTTCTACAATTTAAAAGAAAAAAAGAGGAAAATTATGGATATTAAGACAAATTACCCCCAGAATCAGCTCAAGCCACTCAACAGGGTTTCAGACCCGCTGATGATATAATCCTAAAGCCAGACAACAAGCAAACCTAGCTACCCAATCCCCACAGCAAAAGACTTGGAATACAAAGCCCAGACCTTAAAGACTGCTTCAGTGTCCTCTTGACTTTTGGCACCTTCAGTCCACTCTGCCCAAGATATCCACAATGGCACACAAGCCTGCTCAAAGAAATTTTTTATGTTTAACAAAAAAAAAAAAAAAAAAAGAAAAGAAAAGAAAAAGGTCAGCTTAATACTAAACTCTAAACTCTGAAAACCAACCACTCTCAGAAGGCTCCTCTAAAATAATCAATCTGTAAAATATTGATTTGTTCCCAGTCTGTCCACATTGTGACAGCATGTCCACTGCCAGCAGGAATGGCATCCCAGAGCACACACAGCCTCCTAACCAAGTCAGTCACCCACCACAGCACTCTCCTTTCTGTTGAGGAACTCTGCCTACAATTACCACCAATCATCTTTTTGTTAAGTAAGCAGTTAAGAGTCCATAGCAGCTGTTCTCTTGTGCATGGGGATGCAGCCTGTCGAGTTTCCCTCACCCTGCAATAGACCTGGCTGTTCTACTTCCTGTACAGTTCCCTGTTGATGTGCCTGGGAAGATGGGCCCCTGCCACACAGCTGGGGGACCTGCATGGAGTTCCAGGCTCCAGGTTTTTGCCTGCACTAGCCCCGGCTGTTGCAGACATTTGAGGAGTGAACCTGTGGATGAAAGATTTCTCTCTCTCACTCTGTGTGTGTGTGTCTCTCCTTCTCTCTGTGCAACTCTCCCTTTCAAATAAATAAATAAAACAAAAAGGAGTCCATAGCTAGACAGACCACAGACCGGTCATGTTTCTCCTAAGATCCACAACACAAGAAATAACTAATCTAGGCTGAACTAGCTGTTACTCATGGGCCACAGGCATACAGAAGTAAGCAGATTTTTTTCACAATCCACCTTGTACAATACATTTTTTTTACTAAAATATTCACTGCAAAGCTTTAAGATTTGGACCTTTAAATTTTTTAAGATTTATTTATTTGAAAGAGTTACAAAGAGAGAAGGAGAGGCAGAGAGAGAGAGGTCTTCCACCCACTGGTTTACTCTCCAATTGCCCACAACAGCCAGGAGTTTCTTCCCACGCGGGTGTCTCCCACGCGGGTGCAGGGGCCCAAGCACTTGGGCCATCTTCTACTGCTTTTCCAGGCCATAGCAGAGAGCTGGATGGGAAGTTGAGCAGCCGGGTCTCGAACCAGCACCCATGTGGGATGCTGGCACTGGAGGCAGCAGCTTTACCCGCTACACCACCGTACCAGCCCCTAGACCTTTCAACTTAAGAGGCTAGCAAACAGGCACAGCAGGTTAAGCCACTGCCTGCAATACTGGCATCCCCCCCTATGGGTACCAGTTTAATTCCTGGCTGCTCCATTTCCAATCCAGCTCCCTCCTATTGTACCTGGGAAAGTAGCAAAAGATGGCCCAGTACTTGGGGCCCTGCCACCTATGTGGGAGACCCAGATGCAGTTCCAGGCTCCTGGCTTCAGCCTCGTCCAGCCCTGGCTCTCACAGCCATCTGGGAAGGAAACCAGCAGATGGAAGATCTCTGCCATCCCTCTGTCACTCTACCTTTAAAAAATGCAAACATATTGGCCGGCGCCACGGCTCACTAGGCTAATCCTCCGCCTGTGGCGCCGACACACCGGGTTCTAGTCCCAGTCGGGGCGCCGGAATCTGTCCCGGTTGCCCCTCTTCCAGGCCAGTTCTCTGCTGTGGCCCGGGAGTGCACTGGAGGACGGCCCAAGTACTTGGGCCCTGCACCCACATGGGAAACCAGGAGAAGCACCTGGCTCCTGCCTTCGGATCAGCACGGTGCACCGGCTGCAGCAGCCATAGGGGGGTGAACCAACGGAAAAGGAAGACCTTTCTCTCTATCTCTCTCTGTCACTGTCCACTCTGCCTGTCCGAAAAAATAAAAAATAAATTTAAAAATATATCATTTTTTAAAAAAATTTAAATATGTTTATAATTAAAAGTTGAATTTATGTTCAGCTTTAAATGCAAGTGAGAATATTCTATTAATTCTGGAAGATAGCTAACAGAATAGAAGTTTTGTATAATTTAGTCAACTTTCAAATAATTAGAAATAAGCTACTGAACGCAGGTAAATTCTTCTATTCTTCACCCCTGAACTATGACCACTTAAAAACAAATGTCGGGGCTGGCATTGTGGTGTAGTGGGTAAAGCCACCACCTTAGATGCCAGTATCCAATATGGGCACTGGTTTGTGTCCTGGCTATTCTACTTCCAATCCAGCTCCCTGCTAGCGGCCTGGGAAAAGCAGTAGCAGGTCGCCCAAGTGTTTAGGCCTCTGCCTCCCATGGGGGAGACCCAGATGGGGTTCCTGGCTCCTGGTCCAGCACCCGCTGTTGCAGGCATCTAGGGAGTTAACCAGCAGGTGAGAGATTTCTCTGTCACTCCCCTTCTCTCTGTACTTTTTCAAATAAATCAATCAATCTTAAAAAAATAAAAAAATAACAAATGCCACTCAAGAGCCAGCTCCCCTCAGACAAGTATACTCCAAACAAGCATTGGCTGAAGTCTTGAAAGGTGTCCCAGACAGAATGAACACGAAGTCCACACTCACAGACCTGGGGTTTCAGATGCAAAAAGGCTTCTTCAACAAGCTTGTCCACGCCAGGGCTCTGTGAGTCGATCAGCACCCGCAGCCTCATCTGCCACATTGTCCCAGAGTCCTTGAATAAGTCCGTCCCAGCTACTGCCACCTCCGACGCTTCCCTAAACAACTCCTGGTGCAGCAACAACTCAATCTAGGTAAGACAAAGGATTACCGGAAAATTAACTGCCAAAACTTAAATAACTTACATAAACGAGAACAAAGGCCACAACCAAGACAACCATTTCAACACCCTTTCCACTAAACCTTTTCGCACAGCTGCTAAACAGGCAAAAAGTGAATAATCTGGCTATGCACAAGGGCCATCAAACAACAAGGAAGGGGGACTACTGTTGCAGCACAGCAGGTTAGGCCGCCGCTTACAGCACCAGCTTCCCATATCAGAGCACTGGTTCAAGCCCCGGCTGCTCTGCTTTGGATCCGGCTCCTTGCTAATGCACCTGGGAACGCAGCAGAAGATGGCCCAAGTACTGGGCCCCTGCATCCACGTGGAGACCTGGAAGAAGCTCCTAGCTCCTAGTTTGGCCTAGCCCAGCCCTGATCAATAGATGGAAGATCTCTATCTGTGATGATGCATTTCAATTAAATAGTCTTCAAAAAAAAAAAAAAAAAAAAAAAAAACAGGGTAGAAGTGAGAAGCAGACAGTGTAAATAATTTAATAATTTAGACTAGAAGTTTTCAGTATAGTCTACCAAACTAGAACCCACACATACCACAGTATCAATCAAAAAACAGATAAAATTAGTATTTGTAGAGGAGTAAGGAAATATATTCATTCAAATGGAACTGGATACACCATAAATTGCCACAATTTTTCTGAAATGTAGTTTGATACTATTTAACATGAATTATAAAAGTGTTCATCTCTTAATATGTTTGAGAATTTTACTTTAACAAGTATGTCCCAACAAATAAACAAATGGAAATCCTGTCTGTTCAAAACACTTGTATCTACACTATTTTAACAGGAGGGAAAAAATGAAAACAAATCCAATTTTACAAAACTGTGAAAAACAAGTGAATGGTAGTAAATAATCAGTTCACTGAGCCAGCATTTGATTACACATGCCAGATTTAACAGAGCAAATCAGACACAGGCTATTTGATATGTGCTATGACAGATAAAGAACCATCTGCTCCAGGGGTACCAGTCAGAAGCAGCCACCGGGGTCCATGGCAGTGATGAAAAAGAACTCTCGAAAGGAAGCATTTGAAGGAAGACTGAGGAACAGGCACTGTCAGGGGAAAGCAGACACCCTCCTTCTCCCACCAGGAAAACAGAAAGCTCTCCCAACCAGCACATGTCAGAGGGTGAGCACAAAAGATATCTTGGATATGAAAGGCACTCTAAGTTCAGAATGCCTAACAGGTAGGATGCAAACTGGAGACTTGGATGATGAGACTGGAAATCCAGCTGGGGCCAAGTCAAGGAGCATGAGTAGCTTTATCCAAAGGACAAGGGGAAGCAACGCGATCACCTGACAATGTTAAAAGATCATTCTGTGGAGAATAATCTGGAAAAAGTATGGGTATAGAATCAGCACAGTGTTTAAATCAGTGGCAGCATTTAAAAGCCAGGTCAGCAAATGAGAGCTGAGGTGGAAGGAAGAAGAAAGGCTACACCAGACCTGAGTGTGGGATACCAAAGAAAGATGAAAATGGAAGGACGGGACTGCCAGGCCACACTCAGGGACTGCAATCTACAGGCAGTAACAAACTTGCCAGCTCAAAGGGACACACATGAAAATCATCCAGGCCTGTGATCTGTCCAGACAGATGCCAGAACAAGACAATGGTATCTCAGTCTTGGTATAATAATACCATTATGTGGCCATATATAGAAACGATGGAGTAAATGTTAATGTAAAAACAGAATACTATACAGAATAGGATGCAAAGTAACAAGGTATTCATTGCAATTATATTAACTAAAGAGGTAGGAGTTAATAAAAGGCACTCAACAAGCATAAGGGTGGATGTTGTGGCACAGCAAATTAAGCCGCTGCTTGGGATGCCTGCATTCCGCATCAGGGTGGTTGGTTCAAGTACCAGCTACTCTACAATTCCAATCCAGTTTATTGCTGATCAACGAGAGAAGCAGCAGATGATGGCGTAAGTACTTGATGGCCTAAGAACTTGAGTCCCTGCCACCCAATGGCTACAGGTATTTGGGGAATGCACCAGCACATTGAAGATCTCACTCTCCTGTCTCTCTCCCTCCCTTCGTTATTCTGCTTTTCAAATAAATAAGTAAACCTTTAAATATATATATATATACACAAGAAGCTTTTGTTCTTTCCTCAATGAAGGTATTTAAATACATTAAACACCTTCAGTATCTCATGAATGCCCTCAACAACTCTATGATTTAACAAGAACAAAGATCACTACCACTACTCTTTTTTATGTGTTTTAAAAGATTTATTTTAGGGGTCAGCGCCATGGTGTAATAGGTAATGCCACCACCTGTGGTGCTGGTATCCCATATGGATGCCAGTTAGATTCCCAGGTGCTCCACTTCCACTCCAGCTCTCTATTATGGTGTAAGAAGGCAGTAAAAGATGTCTTGAGTGCTTGGGCCCCTGAACCTATGTGAGAAACATGGAAGAAGCTTCAGTCTCCTAGCTTCAGATGAGCCCAACTCCAGGTTTTGTGGTCATTTGTAGAGTAAACCAGTGGATGGAAAACCTCTCTCTTTGCCTCTGCCTCTCTGAAACTCTGCCTTTCAAATAAATAAATAAAACACTTATTTTATTTATTTGAAAGGTAGGGTGGGGGGGGGGGAGACAAAGATCTTCCATCTGTTGTTCACTCCCAAAATGTCCACAATGGCTATTGCTGGGCAGGCTGAAGCCAGGAGTCGGGAGCTTCTTCCAGGTCTCCCACGTGTGTGCAGGGGCCGAAGCACTTGGGCCATCCCCTGATGCTTTCCCAGGAACATTAGTAGGGAGTTGGAATTAGAAGTGGAGCCGCCGGGAGTTGAACTGGAACCCATATGAGATGCCCGCGTCACAGGCAGCAGCATAACCCACTATGCCAAAAGGCTGGCACCACTATCACTATTTTAAAATCAAACAAACTCAGAAAAGTGGTTTGCCCAAGTCACCAAATTATTAAGTAGCAAATTCTAACTGTGCATTGCTATTCTGGTCCCTAGCGAACTTTACCCATAAAACAAGATACAGATGGCTTACTGTGCCTCTTTCCAGAAAGTCAGTTTCTGAACACAGACACATGTCTCATCTGTCTTTACTCTACCAGTGGTTAATCTGGGCTGGGCCTGGCTCAGGAAAAGGATAGTCAAAACAGATGGATGGGGCCCAGCACTGTGACTCAGTGGGTTAAAGTCCCACACCGTGGTATAGAAGGTTAAGTGGCCATTTGCAATGCCATCATTCCATATGGGCCCTGGTTTGAGTCCCGGTTGCTCCACTTTTTTTAAAAAAAAAGATTTATTTATTCATTTGAAAGAGTTACACACAGAGAGAAGGAGAGGCAGAGAAAGAGGTCTTCCGTCCACTGGTTCACTCCCCAACTGGCTGCAATGGCTGGAGTTGCGCCGATCCAAAGCCAGGAGCCAGGAGCTTCTTCCAGGTCTCCCATGTGGGTTCAGGGACCCAAGGACTTGGGCCATCTTCTACTGCTTTCCCAGGCCACAGCTGAGAGCTGGATCGGAAGTGGAGCAGCCGGGACTTGAACTGGCACCCATATGGGATGCTGACACTGCAGGCTACAACTTTACCTGCTACGCCACAGCGCCAGCCCCTGGGAATGCAACTCACCACCAGGCTAAATGCCCACTCCAGGCCATCATAACCCTGAAACCTAGAAGAAGTTCCTGCAACTTTTCCTTTGCTACCGGAGCTTTGACTTGCAGGGTGACTTCTTAACTGTTCTGTTTCCTTCAGGTGGTCCTGCAGGATGAGAGACAGAGCCAGGCCTTGATCCTGAAGGTCAGTGCAGTCCCCATTTTAATTCTGTGCTGTCAAATTGGTGACGACTTCGTGACCTGGTTCTCTCTCTCTTTTTTTTTTTTTTTTGTTATTTATTTTTTTGACAGGCAGAGTGGACAGTGAGAGAGAGAGAGACAGAGAGAAAGGTCTTCCTTTGCCGTTGGTTCACCCTCCAATGGTCGCCGTGGCTGGCGCACCGCGCTGATCCGAAGGCAGGAGCCAGGTGCTTCTCCTGGTCTCCCATGGGGTGCAGGGCCCAAGCACTTGGGCCATCCTCCACTGCACTCCCGGGCCACAGCAGAGAGCTGGCCTGGAAGAGGGGCAACCGGGACAGAATCCGGCGCCCCGACCGGGACTAGAACCCAGTGTGCCGGTGCCGCAAGGCGGAGGATTAGCCTAGTGAGCTGCGGCGCCGGCCGACCTTGTTCTCTCGAGCTTTGCTGGCTTTTGACTCTTCTGCTGGCCAGCACCGAGTGCCTTGTGGAGGAGCTCACGCGCTCGCTGGGAAGCCGGCTGCTTTGTTCACTGGACCAGCGGAGGGGCTTCCCCAGGGGGGCTTCAGCTCCTGGTGGTGAAAACTGGCCCATGAGTGTGGAGATCCAACAGGCTTAATTGGTTTTTCTGTATTCCTGTATTTCCCATCCTCCCTCTAGCAACCTTCACACTTAGGATCTTGCTTTGAAGTGAAATTTGACTCAGTTCTGATGTGGTTTCCTCCTCA